CCCAGCCTCGGGAGAGGTGGCTTCGCCTCTGGGACGGGTCTGCTGGGCTGGGACCGCGGCTTCCCTCCTCTGTGCTTTGATTCCCGGCGGAATAGACCCCACTCTTTGGAAAAGCCCTTCGCCAGCGCCAACGCGTCAGTCCCTGGGGAAAAGGAGGCTGTTCCTGCGCACTTTTTTCGTCTAAAAGGGGTTTATTTGCTTCCGGAGGAGGTGGTCGTAGATCTACTCGGCGCGGAAGCTGGGGGTGGGGTGGGGGCCCGGTCCGGGTGGAGACGGGGCTGTCTCAGCCCGTGGGGCCTGCCAAGGCCCGCGGGGCATCCCCGCAAGGAGCCCCCAGGCCTCATTCCCAAAGGCCGCCCTCCTGCTCTGGCCTCTCTGCCACCGGAAAAGCCCTGGCGCAGCTGGGGGCAGGGAGACACTGTAGTCTGGACGCTGGGAAATGGGGTGCGGGCTGGACTGCGCGGGCCTCTGACTCTCCTAAACCTGGAGGTGAGGCCTCCATTATGAAAAGGACCTCCAACTCCAGGAGCAAAATAGGTTTGGTGAGGGCCCATCAATGGGATCCCCAAGGCCTCTGATCTGGGAGCCAAGCTCCTCCTACAGCATCTGAGTCCCTGCATGGGGGCAGAGATGGCTCAAAGCTGGTGGCTTCAGTCAGGGGCCTAAATAGGAGGGGAAGGGACAGGTGAGGTGGCTGGGCCTGACCCTCCACCCTCAGTACCATCTGGCTTTTCCCTTGGGAAGATGTGGAAGCAAGAAGAGAGGAGACAGGGAGTGGGCCCTGCTGGGGTGAAGGGGAGGGGAGAGAAAAAGGGCTCCATGCCTTATGTACGGGAAGCAAGAGAACACCAGCCCTACTCACTGTGGTCCTTAGGCCAATGCCTTGACCCTGCTGGGCCTCAATTTCCCCATCTGAGAAAGTAGGTGGTTGTCATGGCCGACACCCCAGAACCCATCTAGAGAAGGCTCTCTACCCTGCATGGGTGGAGGGGTGCCACAGGGCTGCCCAGACTCCAGGAGACACTGGCTTTTCTGGTGCCTGGAGGCCTCCGGGCCGACCAAGGCAGCAGGGCCCTGCCCACTGTCTCTCCACCTCTCACTAGGAGAGAGGCCTGTCCCATGTGGGATACCATCACCCATCCCTTCTGAAGAGCCCTGGGATTCACAGAACCACCCAAGGGTGGAGCACCTGGAGGCCACCTTCCTGTCCTGATGATGGCTGGAGGGGGGGGGGGTTCAGAAAGGGGCGGCCCCAGTGGAAGCCACTTAACAATTTGGGGGAGAGGCAGCTGGGCTCGTGGGGTCCTAGTCTTACCAGAGCCTCTGGTAAGACATTTTCTTTGTCCCTATGGACGAGGAATCCTGGCCATTTCCTAAGCTACACAAAGACTAGGGCTGATGCCAGGGTCTGGGGCTAACTAGCCTCACCGCTCAGGGCCAACAGCTGGAGCTACAGAAATGGCATCACCTTGGACAGGCAGGGCCCTGGGTATGGTAGGTTCTATTTCCTGCAGGGACCCCTGAGGCCCCAGGCCAAGTGCACATGGGAAAGAGAAGCGGCCCAGGACCCCAGGCGGGGGACTCCTGAAGGGTGGCAGCACCCTCCCTCCGCCTCTAGGGACATCCATCCCCATCCACCTTCACCTGACCTTCTCCTCCTTGCCCTGGTGAATGGACTATGTACTTCTCTCCAGCAGGCCCTGTGGGGGCAGCCGGTGCAGGACCCCCACGCAGTCCTCACAGCCCCACTAGAGCCAAGTGTCACATCTTCTTGGGACAGGTCAGGACACTGAGGCCCCAGGATGGGGCAGTGGCCAGACCTGGAGTGGCAGGGGCAGAGAGAGAAGTTCCGAGGAGAGGTTTGGTAATGTGCCCCCTCCCCGATGGCTAGAGCTTATATTCCTACAATGGTGAGGAGGAGCAAGAGAGGGCTAAGGCCTTCCTCAATCACGTTGGAGACTTTAAGGCTCTCAGAGGAGACACCTCACTCCAGAATCTGTCCCCAAGCTCCCATAGCATACTGTAGTCCTTCAGCCAGCTCCGCCCAGTAACGGTTTTCTGAGGCTCCGAAGCTGGAGAAAGGAAGAGTGCAGCCTTTCCCTCTCCTCTCCTCCATCCCGTCCTCCGTGGGTGTGATTCAACCACCCACCGTTCGCTGGGGTTGCCAAGGAGGACGTGTCCACGCATCACTGAGCAATATAAGCAGATTGCAGAAGGAGAAAGCTTTCCTCTCAGGGCAGTGGGGAGGGGATGGGGGGTGGGGATGAGGCCGAGGCTGGTAAACTGAGTCGGGGTGCACAGGTACAGCCTCGGCTCTAGGAGTTGCCCGCCTGCCTACGCGGCACCCCTGCCGGGCGGCCGTCTAGTGCCCTGGCCGGGAGGTTGCGCACAGACACCCCTTTCCCAGCCGAGCCGCGTGGCCTTTGCCTCTCCCCCTCCGGACCTTCCCGGCTCCTTAATCCTTGCTCAGGCCGCTCCCCTTCCTATCTGTCCCCTCTCTTTCTTGACTGCCCCCTCCTTCTGCCCTGCCTGCCTCTGTGCCCGCCCGCACGTCACTGCCCCGTTGGCTCCCGCGCCGCTGTCGGCCTCTTTTGCGCACGGGCTGACGGCCCTGGCACCCTCACATCTGTCTCGCATCCAGGGTGGCCCTTGCTGTCTCGCTGTGGCCCCTCTCTCACCTCTCTGGGTCCCTCTGCTCCCTTCTCTGGGGTCTCCTCTCCTGCTCTCTCCTTCCTGAGCGTGCGCTCCGCTGGGTCTCCCTCGGTCTGGGTCCGCCGACCCTTCTCGAGGCCCCCCTCTCTCCCGCCTTCCTCCCTTCTCCGGCCCTCCCTCGGGCTCAGCCCGGGGTGGGGTAGGGGCGGTTAAAAATATTTTTTATTGGCCTGGGCTGGTGTGGCTCAGTTGGTTGAACACCGTTGTGGGTTTGGTCCCTGGCTGAGAAACCAATCGATGTTTCTCGCTCTCTCCCTTTCTAAAATCAATAAAAACGTAATTTAAAAAATACAATAAGAGCTTGTAACAGTTATAAGTTAAAATTCATGGCCCCACCCCATTTCTACTAAATTAATTTTAAAAAGCTTTTTAAACTGATTTTTAGAGAGAGAAAGAAAAAGGGAGCTAGAGAGAAACATTGGTGCAAGCAAAACATTGATGAGGCGAGCCCACAACCTGGGCATGTGCCCTGACCAGGAATTAAATCAGAAAACTTTTGGTGTATGGGATAACACCCAAACAACTGAGCCACACTGGTCCAGAGACATGCACTTGTTTTTAAGCTGGAGGAGATATAGAGATGAGAAGAAAAAGGGTATCACAAAGTCAAAACACACTCCTTCACGGATGCCCCGCGGGCTCTAGCCCGGGGACCGAGCCCATATTCTAGTTGCGGGCGCAGGTCCGTACTGCTAACCTCAGACTGCGGGTCAAAGCGACCTCCGGCCGCGGGCGCCTGGGCCTTCGCCGCAAAAGAGCTGGCCGGGAGTGGCCAGGACTGCCCTAGCGGGGAAGCCGGACCTTGGGGAAGAGGCCTGGGTCTCCGAGTGCTGTGCGGGGAGCGGACGCAGGCCCAAGCCGGCCCGAAGCCTCCCGGAGCCTCAGGAGGCAGGCACACCGGCCTCTGCTGCAGCACCCACACCCTTAGTCTTGCCTGGGGACAAGGGGCTGACTGTGAGCCGCCAGCCCCGACCGGCCCTTCTGATTCCAGGTCTGCTGCGCCTGCCTCCGTGGAGCTTGAGCTGCCCACTGGGCCTTTCCTGCCTTCTGGGTTCTTTTCCTTCCTTGACGGGGCCAGAGTCGGACTTGCCCAGCCAGTGTCCTCTCCACCGCACCCCTGTTCTTCTGGCTTTCCCCAGTTCTCGTCACCCTACTTTGGCCTCTCTGGGCCTTTCTCAACAGGGTGGGCCTGTCTTCCCTCTCTCTCACCTTCCCCCAAGTGTCTTGCTTCCCTCTGGCCCTCTCCTCACACTTACCCCAGTCTTGGCCAGCCCTCGCGACTTCATGGACGCACCTGCCCGTAGTCAGCTGCCCCTTGGGAAGGGAGGCCTGCACAGTGGCACCGGGGCCCTGCCAGCCATCTTTCTGGCCCCGTGACCCTCCAGCCTGCGCTCCGCCCTCCCGCTGGGCGCCTCAGCCAGTTTGTTCGTTTTGAGTCCAACTTTGATGAAGACTCACTGCTGTGCATCGTCTCCAGCGGCACTCTGGTTTTAATTCGTTTGAAGCGGGCAAAAAATCATTTACTGCCGATGAAATGGAAACATCGCCCCGGGGGCCAGTCTAAATAGAAAACACAGGAAGACCAGTTTCAGGATTCGTGGGGTGTTTTGAAATTCTCGGAAAGTGTTCCAGCCTACCCCTGCTGCAGACCCAGTGCCCAGAGGAATAAATCTGTTCACCCCCTCGGTGTGCTTTCCCCAAAGCAGCAATGCGGATTTGGCTGCGGGAAGCTCATCTTCCTATCTCTCGACTTCCTTTTCTTCTTGGTTTCCCTTTTTTCGTGAAACACACTGTGCACCTCTGAGCTTCAAACCTTTTCATTGAGAATCCCGAAATCTCAAAGGGGGCACCCGCCTGCGGAGCGCAGGGCAGCGCCCAGGGTCGGGGAGACCCCTGTTCCCAGACTGGGGGACACTGGCGCTGGAGCGGGTCACCCCAGGCGCGGCTTAATCTCTCCCTTCGCGGCCTGGCAGGAGGGTTTGTGCCGGGTGGCACGGCCAGGCACTAGTCCTCTGGTAGCGGGATGCCCGGGCGCCTCCCAGAGAAGAAGCAGGGCCTGCGCTCACGAGGCTCCCCATTCTCTCCCCGCAGCCGTGTTGAAGGCCGAGCAGGCGGCGGTGTTTAAATTCCCGCTGG